CTTGTCTGAGTAAGATATATATTAAAAAGTTAGTATCTGCATCTTTAGATCATCCACCATCAACTGAATAGAAAACCCATTGCATCGTCTCCTGGAGAGAATACCATTACACCATCTTCGGATTTTCAATCATCCTTTAATTGATCCGTTGATCCATCATCGTACCTATATGATATATAATGCGATGCAATGCAAGAAGTAATTAATCAACTGCAACCGTGATTCGTACAATACGATTTATGCCTCTCAAGTTAACGAGCTAGTTCTAACGACATACGTACTTATCTACGTATCCATGTTGTCGAATAAGGCGTTATTTCCCAACCAATGTTTTAGTTATATAAACCCAAGTTGTTTCTTTATTTTATTCTATCGATTTAATCATTATTCAAAATAGGGCATCATTATCTCTCTACCAAACCAATTATTTTGAAACTACAAAAACTACAGTGAGTACCTAATATTGCTAGGAGCCTAGTGTAGAAATTTCAGATCCAATACTATTACCAATTTATCACAACAATTCCTACAAGTTATCTTTTTACAATATTAAGCATTCTAAATCAATTAGAGCAATCCTAAAAATATACCGAATCTATGTGAACAAAATATACTATTAGATAGATCATGATTTTAGAAACTAAACACAACTGGTTTGGCATTTTTATGATTTTTCTACACTTTATTTTCAATTTTTGAAAGACGTTGAATTAGCAAAATAAAACAGCGCAACAAGACAAAGCGGTAGGCGCACACGCGGCCCAACGTGGCGCGACGGCCCAAAGACCGGATGGCCGCAGAGAACGGCGCTGGCGGCCCAAAGGGTGAGTCTGCCAAGCCTGACCAACAGTAGTGCGCGCGTGGCTCTCACAATGACAACAAAGCCGACCCACGCGCGGACGGGGCTCGAGCTCGAGCGGTCAATCATATCAAGGCCCAACAAGACGACGACGCGAGCGCTGCCCCAACAAACCGCCCAGCGCGGGTGAGCAACCAATTACACGACGGGAGCAGGACGGCCCAACGCCAGCAGCGGACGTGCTGCCCAAAAAAAGGTCGGGCGCGGATAGCCTAGAGACAGCAAAACACAACTTCACGAAGAGGCCCCTGAGTTCCCAACAATTCCTCACGTAGTACATCAACACTATTCACCCAAGTGACGTATTTAGCATTGAGAACCCTATATAGTATTTCAGCTTGGATTTATACCCTCCTCACCTTGCTTTCTCTTCCCAAAAGCAGAGCACCGTAGGGGAGGGGCACGGCGACCGCGGCTGCGGCATGGCGGCTGGCAAGGTTCGGCCCTACGGCGCCGGGCGGGCATGGCGTGCTCGCGCACGGGCTGAGGGGCGCGGTGCGCGCGAGGGATGCAGGGCGACGCCGAGCGCGACCCCGGCGGGTAGGAGCGGGTCGTGGAGGCGGCGTGGGGAAGTGCCAGCGGCTCCGGCCGCAGTGGGGCAGCGCGGACACCGGGGTGCCGAACGGGCATGGCACGTCGGTGCTACGGCCGAGCAGGAGGTGGAGCGGTGAAGGAACAGCCAGACCGGCGCGGCCGCGGGAAGGAAGAGCGTGGACGACGGCAGGAGGGCGGCATTGCCAGCAGCGGCCGCGGGGGCGAGCAGCTACGGCTAGCCGGCAGCCCAGCGGCGCGCGACGCGGGAGTAGCCGCATGTGCTGCAGGAGGTTGCCCGGAGCAGTAGACCACGGGCGCGGCCATGGCTGGCGAGGCGGCTCGGTCTAGTCTGGTGATCATGGAGTGCCGGGCAGCGGCGGCTCGGAGGGGCAAGCCTTTCGTCGCTTAGCGCGGGGAAGGGCGTCGTGGTCTTGCGCGCGACATGAGGGAAAAAAGGAGGGCGAAAGGGAGGGCAAGCGCAACTGTGGGACCATCGTCTTGAGAGAGAGAGGAAACCGCCACGACGGATCGAGCTGGGACACCTCCTTGACAATAGAAATAGAAAAAGGAGGGAGGAAAGCAGCACAAGGTTCGGCCAAACTTGGCAGATAAACAGGCGGCAGCAGCAGCTCGGAGATGACCCGGCACAGACATGTTGGTGATGGCAAACAAACCCGCGTACACGGTGACGGGGGAAGAGCAGAGGCAAGGACAAGCAAGGACAGACAAGACCAGCAAGGTCAGAGACGAGCAAGGCAGGGGCGTGTGAACTCGGTGAATTGGAGCTTTGGTCGCCAGCCACGGCAGACAACTGAGGCAGGACTTGACTCGGCCCGAAAAACACTCAAGACAGAGGCAGGCAGAGGCCACAGGAAAAACAAGGAGACGCATGTGGGCTCGATTACTTCTTAAACACGACGGCAGGACGGCCTGGCCCAACGTGGCCGGCAGGGCGTGCCGATTTGCACGAACAAGACCGTGGCCGCAGAGACAAACAAGGTAGGCAAGGACAAGACCGAGGTCGTAGAAAAATAGAGGGAGGGGAGCAGCGCGAGGCTCGGCAGCAAGTCCAGCAAAGCAGGCATAGATGATGCGACGAAGCGGGCAGATGGACATGGGCATGACCGAGCCCTGTGCTCTCATTAGAAACTTTTGGACACGACGCAAGCGATGGAGATAAAGATAGGGGCGCAGGCAAGCGGACGCGCCGGGGTGCATAACCACGACGGAAAACGAGACGGTGCATCATTGCACAGCAAGGCGAGTACGCCGAAACTGCGCCTGAAAAAGTAAATGAAGACTGCTAAGCTACTGCGCTATCTCGCGTCTGTAACGTGTTTCACACCAACCACGTAAATTTATGAAGCGGCCAGACGGGCAGCTGTCATGAGGGTACGTTACCAAATTATCATAGGGATTAAAACGAGTTTATACTTAAACATGTCACTAGACCAAGGCTATATATATAAATCGTTCTATTTATTTATAGATTTTATTTTATTTATAAAAGTCGTTTTTCATGCTTAATCTAACCGAACAAACCGTTCGCTATTTATTGGTTAGAATTGTCGTTTAATATTTCTAAATATCTTTACACACTGAGTAATTTAACTTGGGCGTTGATTCGAGTCCACAACATTAAGTCACACATGATTCACTCATCACGTCGAGTACGTTTTAAATAAAAAATCCGAGAAACTCGTTTCAAAAATTTACTTAGGCCTAAATCGCGGTGCTAAGCAAGCTCGTAACACCAGGTGTTACATGGAATTCGCTATAGGAACCTTTGAATTGGATCCTATACGCTGAACGAGTGGAGTAAGAGCGGCAGTCCCAATGAAAGAAACTAGTAGTTTCTATAACATAGGATACCGCACTAAAAAAATACTGCTTTTCAACCCATGGTTTCTATGAGTAATAATTATTTTCTCTTTCTCTCTCCCAATTATATCTTCTTCCTCCAATGGGAGTGCGGCACGAGCCCCCTAGAAACTGGTGGTTTCTCCCCAATGGCGATTTTATGGTTTCTTGGTGCATTGGGTCAAGAGAAGACCTGATTTTTTCATGAGGAAACCATTCCTAAGATTTTTGCTCTCTTTTTTCATTAATTACGTTGCCATGTCAGCGTTTTTCCTATGTGGCAAGTCATTTAATGAGGATAGAAACCATCATCAATAAACCATTGGGACTGCCCTAAGAGGCATCAGCAGTCCATCTCCAAACTATGGAGTCGCGAACTCCCGGCGTAAGCTGGATGTTTTGGAGCCTTATCCAAAGAGAGACAAACTCTTCAACTTGGACGGTGGTGGTGATTCTGCCTCTTAGCGATCGGATCCAACTGTTGTTTCGAAGTTCCTATTGGACCGATTTGTTTTTCCTTCTAATCAGCAAAGACACAGAAGTGTCACACATAAGGAGAAAAACTATGGATCACATAGTGTATTGACAAGTTTACCATCACTAGATCCTTCTAATTAACATGTTGCATCTAAACGACAAGACCAAACAAGGACTAAGGATGACAAGTTGAAAACCTAAACAAAAACCTAGTGCTCATTACATATATATACAAGTCATGGCATTACATACACAAGGTAAGGTTGTTAAATAGATGTTTCATTTTCACCTCCCGAGCAAGATGAGGGATTTGGATGGCCCCTTGTCCAATAAATGTCAGCGGATTAATATGAAACAAATGGATTCAGAAGTTCTGTCCCTACTCCCTAGCTCCCATATTCTTGACTACAAGATAAGCTGGAGGTGTAAATAAAAAAAAAGGATATAGCTGATTCTCAAATGGCCTTGTCATGAAAAATGTCTTCAAATTCTATTCATCCAGAAAAGGGAGAGATCAAAATACCCAGTCAATCAGGGAGATTACTGAAACCATTGAATTTCTAGGAGAATTCGTTTTGGATTACAGATGAAAACCCAACCATGGTGTAAATCACAAAAGGATAAGCTGAATTGGCTGCAAAACGCCCATATCTAGACATGATGCAGTTCTGGGGAACTAACTAATTTTAAGGAGCAAAATTTCTTATAAAGCCTACATATCATTCTGTCATGATCAATTAGACCAAGTCAAAGCCAAACAACATCCTTTAGGTCCTCTACTCCTCTTAGATATAGAGCAGTACGATGGTTGGAGGTGGCTTACATTGCCTGCTTCTCCACCAATTAGTTCACAACAACAAGACAGTTAGGTTTGTACATAGCCTATAGCAAGCCCGTTTGTTGGCCTGCATGGGCCACAAAGTGTACATGGGCCCCGTTTGTTTTGCTTTCTAGGGAATTGTCACCCTATTTTCATGATTGTCAGAGAAGATTTGCTGATTGACATCCTACAAAATACTTGAAAGGTAAACATCCAACAAATATAGACTTTCTGTTCAAGTTAAAAGATACTTCACCAAAGAGCTGAAAATTGATGACTTAAGCTTAAATGAATATTGGCAATGGTTCCATTAATTCTGTAAGAAATTCATCAATAATTAGCAGCTACATACAGGCTAAAAGTAACTGGACGAAAAAGGAAGACCCTCATGTTCTTACATCCTGACTGGAACATTGAACTTTGCTAATGGACCTACTCATAAACATCATATCATCCAGTTGTGCAAAACTGGATGCTAGCATTTTGAGAGGACTTCCTCAGCTTCAACACCTTACGCCTAAACTTGGCCTGCTCAAGGCCATCCATGGAAGGAACAATTGTCATTGTCTCCAGTGCAGGGGCGTTCTTGAGCAGGACCTTTACCAGTTCAAAACCACTTTTGCTCTCATCAATGTACTTCATCCTAACAACCTTTAGATGCTTCACCGACACCCTCTTACCACCCAGCACACCATGACATTCTCCATCGTCACTATTCCGCCTCCATTTGCCCTGCGATGGCTGCAGCAACGAACATCATCGGTTTATTATCATTACAATCTAGCAGAAATAACATAGCACTGAACTAACAAAACAAGGAAGCTCATCTCACCACAACGGACACGCAGAGCTCTTCCACATTTCGGCAACTTGATAGCAATGGCGCAATGGATAATGCACCTTCTTCCCTCCTCTCAATTATGCATGCCAACCGCCTTACCTTGTCTAACTGCAACTTCGACCATTCCTCTGGACGTGCAAATTGCTTCGAGTTTTTTTTTCAGTTTGGTAATTAGATTCATCGATCACTAAATACTCTACCTATCAAAGAGAATTTGAGATAGATATATACCTCAATGCACCAGGGTGACAGAACAAGTCTTCGTGCATTGCCAACCAAAGTGAGAAGCTCTCTGAGAGCAGCCTCCCGGGGCTTGACCAATGGCTTCTCGATGGCAAGGAGGATGTCGTCCAAAGAAACGTCCCCATCAATAATGTGCCTAGCTGCTATTGCACCGGAGTAGTGGAGTATGCGCAGCTCAGGCATCTCAAAAACAGCAAGAGCCGACTCCTGCGTCCAAGAACAGTCCGTGATCGCGAGCGAGGAAAGCCGCGACGGACCGGTAAGGCGGAGAGCACCGATGCGGCATTGTTCAAGGATCAGGTAGCGGAGCTCCGCGCAGTGCGAGAAGAGGTCTCCGAAGAAGTCATCGTCCGCATTGAGGGAAACACAAGCGAGGTGGAGGCGGGATAGGCGGGCGAATGTGGTGAACGAAGGAAGCGGAAGCGCGTAGTGGTCGAGGCGAAGTGTCAGCGACGTGAGGCTGGTGCAGGCCAGGAGGGAGGGCGGGAGGACGGCGAGGCGGGAGCGCGGGAGGCGGAGCTCCAACCGCTCGACGCCGCGCGCCGCGGCTGCGGCGAGCCACGATGCGAGGTGCTCGGCCGCCGAGGCGGCGAACGTCTGGTCGAAGAGGCCCTCGAGCGCGAGGCGGAGGCAGTGGAGCGGGTGCGGGTGCGGGTGCGGCGGAGCGGAGCACGGCCCGAGCGCGGCGGTGACAGCGGCCGCGAACGCCGCCCTGCGGCGCGGCGCGGCGGGGAACGCCGCGGCGAAGTCGAGGTCCAGCGCGGGCGCAGCGGCGACAGCGCCGCGCCACCGGCGCGAGATGGCCGAGGCCGCGACCGCGGACCGGAAGGGCAGCTTGGACAAGATCAGCCCCAGCACCGCGTCGGGAAACCCCTCAAACGGGTCGGTGCCGCCGCCGCCGCCGCCTCCGTCGCCCCCGCCGTAATCCTCGCGGGCGGAGTAGTCGCGCGCCGCGTAGGTGAGTCCGGCGGCGTTGTTAGGGATGAGGTGCTTGGTGCGCATGGCTCCCGGCGCCTCGATCCGAGAACCAACTCTTCCGGAACTGGAATTTTGGAAGTCAAACTACGGCGCAAGCAGCGGAAACGAAGCGGCCCGCGCCCTACGCTTTATGGCGAGCCCGCTGGGAGGGACCCCCTTTCCGCGGTGCGATTCGTTCGCTTGGGAGGCGGCACCCCGGCACCGCACGCAACGCGATGCTGTGGGCAGGGCCTGCCTTGCGGACGGGTTTGACGGGTGGGGAGGCGCCGCTGCCGCAACCGCGCCGCACGACGGATAGACGGGAGGTGGTGCGCCGCAGCCGCGCCGGCGCTTGACGAATCGCTAGATTTTCGGCTGTCTTTCGTGATGCGCCCGCCGTGCGGCGTGCGCCCCGTGTGGGTCACACCACGATCGCTTGTGAGCTGTGAGTTGTGACGCAGGGTCGCAGGCACACACGGCCGCGGCCTAGCGGCCAGTTGCGCCGAACCTGTTTCGTCTGACCGCATCGGTTTCCAAGGGTTTTGTGGGTTTGGTTTGGGCGTACCCAGACGGATCGCCGATGGCCCTGTTCGACTGGTAGAAATTTTGGTTGAAAACTGACTGAAAAAAATATTGTTCTGGTTGAATTATTGTGAGAAAAAAACATTATTCCGGCTGAAAAAAGAAGCCGAACAAATCGAATATAGGGTAAGTCGAACGGGGCCATATACAACTTTGCGTGGGTATACAGAGTTACACTTGGATTTCTCTATGATTATATATTATATACTAGTACTACAATACTTTGGCCTGAAAAGGACCGGGGTAAAACATTCGTATCTTTCAATTCATCCGTCGCAAGAAAAAAAAATTCTTGTTTCTTAAGTAAGACAATCTATTTAATTAAATATATGTAAAATGTACTAATATTTATGTTACATAATAAATATTATTAGATTAAACATGTAATATATTTTCGTAATTAATATATTTGAAAATATAAATTGTTGATATTTATTTTCTACGGTAATTGTTAGCTGGCCATGGAGTATATTCCTGAAGCTTGTGGGGGCATACTGCCATGCGCGCAGAAGACTTGACAGATCGTGTAGCCAATTCCGCGGCAGAGGGTGGTTGCTTATTGTCGAAGTAACTTCTGACATGCATTAACGCCTCCGGTTCATCTTCAGTTCAGTCTTTCATCCATGCTTCCACTTCGGGCTTTTGGTGCCGTCTGAATACCAGTGGGATTCTAGAAATCTGGATTTTACATATGGATTCTAGATCCAGATTCTACATAGCAAAAATCCATAGACGTTTGAATCCTGGATTTTAGACTCAGATTCTAACGGTTAGGATCTTGCTATATTCATACTAATCAATCAAAATAAATTTCACCTTAGTAGTTGTAACACGTGCTGCTGCTTTTGTACAAACCAAAAAGACTCGCTTTAGTCAGTTCATCCAACACAATCATTTCAGGTGTAAAAAAAACACACACACACACAATCATTTCAAGATTGCACAATACTCCCAACGTTACCAGAAGCAGGTGGCAGTTTAATTTCTCGTTTCCCCTCTTCTTTACAATGAATGTGACTAACTATTTGAGAACTTATGTACCCGTATCAGAAGTGTACAACAGCAGCGATTGTTTCAATAAACTCCTCCCAGAGAAAAAAGAAAAGAATAGAAAAGCACGAGAAAATGTCATCACAACTAAAATTAGACATGACATCTGGTATTATCACCGCTGATCATCCGTTTATTACTTTGTGTTGCCAAGAGGATATTTGATTCCTGACATCTGGCCCATCTCGGATTGCAATGGTCCTCTTTGCTCCAGAACTTGGCAATCAGCATCTTCACGAAAGCCCTGAAGTCAACAACAAATGAAGTTACAATCTCCCTGCACAAGATTGCCATGTGTTATTCACAGCATCATCATTGAACACCACGATAATCTTCCTAGGAACATGAGATGGTTTCACAATACTAGAACCTAGAAATATAAATTCATACCATTTGGATCTAGATTTAGAGTTTAGCTGTTCCGATCACAAATTCTAGAATGTCTATTATGGCAAGTCATATCTAGTTCGTGTTACCAGATGGCAAGAAAAGTAGTAGATTGAGCATATCCAAGAGCCTTTCTAAAATCTATTCTCTAAATCATCACTTGGAGCCATTTGAGTAAAAATCGTTTTCTATATCTTTGTATTCTCCAACAGCTTTTCTATATCTTGTGCGTAGTCTAGAGAGTCATCCTCACTCTCCATCTTTGGCTAGCGAGAAATCCGGAACAGAGGATATCTATATTTGGATATCCAATTGAAGAGGTTGTTGAAGGGTTTTTTTCACCAAAATCCCTATTCTTGTAAATTAGAAAAGATATAAAAAGTCCCTTAGAGATGCTCTCACTCTCTAAATCATCATTTAGAGAGCCATTTGCATAAAAATCGCTTTATATATCTTATTTGCACTCTAGAGAGTCATTCTCGTTTTCTATCTTTGGATAGCGAGAAATCCGGAATACAAGATGGCTATATTTGGATAAGCTGTTGGACGGTATTTTTTTCACCAAAATCTCTATTCCTAGCAATTAGGAAGGATATGGAGAGTCTCTTGGAGTTGCTCTTAAACTCACCCTCTAAGTCCTCATTTGGACAGCCATTTGAATAAAAATCGCTCTCTATATCTATCCACCCTCTCAATATCTTGTGGAGGAATAGATGATGGCAACAGCTGGATATCTAATTAAAAGAAGCTGTTGGAGGGAATTTTTCACCAAAAATCTCTGTTTCTATCAATAGCAAAGGACATAAAGAGGTTATTGAAGTTGCTCCACAATGAAATCAATGTTCTTCTTTCATGAAGTGAACCTGTAAATTAGGAAATCATGTCCAGACAACAAACTTTGCAAGCCTTATCCTCACATAAACCCTAAAACACAACTTTAAAAAAAAATCTAAAAGCCCTGAATATCTAAAAGGAATTAAATTAAATAGGTCCATTTATTAAATAGTAGTTTAAGCTGCAACCCGTAACATCAAAGAGTATTGCTGCACGCCTAACTGAAGCCTTACTTGATCTTTCTCATAAGTATTTTTGATAAATACCTGCCAGCTGATGATTTTGTTTTATGTCAAACAGTTAGTTATCCCCAGTCTGAATGATGAGGAACTTAAGTACGTTATGCTCACACCGTGACATCAAGGTGATGGTGTGATGCCTCTTTGAGCAATCAAGTACCGAACAGTGTTGTCAGTTCACAACACTCGGTAAGCACAATTATTCTTTTGAAAGGGAGCTGAGCACAATTATCGTATTATAAGGCATACTTGCTACAATTTGAGAGGGAACTGGAAGGGCATTTGTATTAACAGCTTAGTAAAATAGTTTAAGCTGTAATCTTGCATGTCATGTAACACTTTACTGAAACCTAGTTCATGCTCCTGTCGTCCATTTAAGATGCTTTATGGAAGTACTAACGGAAGGTTACCAAGACTGCTTACCCTTTCAATAAATAAAAGGCACACCCAAGAACGCAAATGATGCATAAGGAGGTAATCATCAACAATACAAGCAAAGAAGGCTTCCTTAGCTTATAGGTTGGAATTTGATTGATACATTAGGGTTCAAGATTTATATATTTGCTATCCAGATTAGATTTAGCTTTCTATGGGCAAAGAGATTGATGAATCTGATCAAAAGTTGGGTCCTTCTAAATTCAGCATTACAGTAGCCCCTTTCAGAAAAAATGTGCAGAGTAAATCTAAAAATGCGAGTGAGAAATGAAAGGACCTAATATTCCCTCCATCCTAAAATAAATCAACTTCTAGAGTTGTCCTGAGTCAAACTATTTTAAGTTTGACCAACTTTATAGAAAAGAACACTAACATGTATGACATCAAACAAGTATATTTGAAAATATATTTCATGTTGTATCTAATAATACAAATTTGGTGTCATAAACACTGGTGCGCTTTTTAATAAATTCAGTCAAACCTAAAAATGTTTGACTTAGGACAACTTTAGAAGTTGATTTATTTTGGGACCTAATACATTTGATCTCACAAAGACAAATCCTTAGAAGATGTGAACATCCATGTGGCAGGTTCAGGTCTGTAGATAATTGCCAAGATCAGATCAAAACATTAACAGTCGTAAACCTAACTAGAAAATCAAGCACACTGGAGGGTTCAAGCAATTGACTGCAGAAAATACGTGGGTGAGTTCACATATTATCCTGGACTAGCAAATATGCCCATGCGTTGCAACGGGAGAAAAAAAAACTATCAAGCATTCATGCAAAACGATGACGTGAATGGTACATATCTACTTATGTTTTATCCTTTTATAATTTATTTTATGATGACCGTGACATCCATAATATAAGTTAATGCTAACAATAAATAACAATGTCTTACTAAACCTGTATCAAATTGAAATACACCTTGGTATATTTTTCCTTTCATTGCAAAGCACATAATTATTTAGCTATAAGTATATCATAACTTTAATTTTTCATAATACCCATGTGTTTCTATGACTCAATATCGACCTTTGTAGCTTTTTTGATGTATCATATCAACCTCCGTAATTTTTTTTGTCAATGTGTCAAGGATTTGTCTGTCCACCAATGATTGAGACCTCTCTTGAATTTTCAGACAGCAGTCCTCGTCGGGAATTACATAAATACATTTGTATAGATTTCATTAGATAATAATCTGCGAAGTTTCCGGTTCATGAAATATTTAGTTGTGCCGCAAAACTGGTTTGGCATTTTTATGATTTTTCTATGATTTTGGCAAATTTTGCAATATCTCTGTTTTTATAGAAAAAGAGAAAAATGAAAGAAAAAGAAAAGAGCTTGCATAGGCTTGGTCCAGCCCACAACGAAACCGGCCCAACTGCAAGGATTCAACTCAGGTGGAAAAAGAAGCCCACCAGGAGAGGCCCACTCGGATCTGGACATTTTGCATCAAGAACCTGATATATTTCAAAAACTATTAAGGCCCTCCCACCTTTTCTTTCTCTCTAGTATCTTTACATCTGGAACCCCATATTTCTTTATATTCTCTTCCCTACTCCTAATCTCTGTTGGCAATGAGACCGAGACCGAGACCGAGACCGAGCCGGTGATTGGGAGAGGATGAGGCAGAAAAAAAAATATGACGGAAATTTTGCCTTTTTATTATTAGGTATAGAATTGAGCATCACAGACAGGAAATAAAACACAGTGAAACATTGGACAGTTACTGAATATGGAACTGTATGATCCTCGGACAAAGCAAAAGGAAATACTTACAGTGGTGAGCAAGGCGAACGACCACCGTTCACATAGTACACAAACAAGTATGAGTCATAATGTTGTCCTCTTATGTAGTAAAACATTGGAAGCCTTCTGACTAGCTTAAATAGCATCTTCTTATAGAAGCTGATAGCAGGCTGGTTGTATGAAATGACATGTAAATAAACACCTCTGCAGTTTGATATGCTTGCTGCATATTTAACCACTTCTCGAACCAGTGATGAAGCTGCAAGTTAGAATTATCATAAGGATCAACCACATCAATTCACAAGGCAAACCATAAAAGTAAGACGAGAAGACAATGTAACTAACCTATCCCAAGGTTTCTGTAGCCATCCACCACACCCAGCGTCAATATATACACAAGTGTTAGATCTTTGCGTGAACTGTTATACCTAAACAGGTCCTCAATCTGCATATCAAAACCATTAACTCCATCAAGCTGGCCACTTAGATATACCATATAATCAGGAACTCCTGTATGGTAATACCTCGCTATCTTTTGCCGCAATCATCCTCGTGGTTACAAAACCTATTATCTCATCCCTGCGGTCATCTGATCTGCTGGTGTCTACGGCTCCCCAGGAAACGATCCCATTGCCGCTGACAACGTTCAAGAAGAACTCCCTCTCGTACCTGAACAAAATGAAGAAGAATTATAGCATCGAATGAACGGTAAGAGTAAGTAGGCGATGTATTATATAACGGTAAAGCAAGTAACAAGCTAGAAAAAGTAGCATCCGTTTCCAGTAGCTACCTTATTGGAAAGAGAGCAAGATGAATCTTCTCAAGAGCTTCGAGGTCGGAGGGCTGGATAGGGCGATACTCTATGGTGGGGTAGATTTCGGATCTTGGATCCAACATGAGCAGCTCCGGCAGCAGCGATGACCGACCAGGTTCTTAACCGGGATGTCCGGCAACCTTCGCGTGAGGCCGTGCGGGAGAGGAGGGAGAGGGGTCTCCCCTCTTCGAGGCGTGCAACTGCGTCCCCGCGAGTCAGGCGCGCCACGGCGAACTGCAGCCTGCTCGGTGGTGGCGCCGCCGCCGCGAGGAAAGGGCGAGAGGGAAGAAGTCAACGGCGCGGCGCCCGTCGGCGTGTGGGATAGGGAGGAAGGAGGAAGGACCAGCGGCCAGGATCGAAAGGGTGGATGGGAAGTAGGGGATCAGGGGAGGTGGTGATGGACGAGCGGCGGCGACCTTGACGCGGACAGGAAGAAGAACCCAGGAAGGAAGGAAGGATTAAGGAAGGAGGTGAGGAGGCTAACCGGATGATTTGAGAGTGTCATTAGCCCATGCTGAACTGTTTAGAGGATCCTCGTAATAATCCAAAAAAAGAGGTTAATGTTTTCCTATTCTTTGGTCAGCTATCAGCTATACTAAGGTTCCATTTTTTTAGCGAGCAAATTTTTCTACCAATCACTTAAGCCATTACTTGGTTCTCTACTCTTGTGATTTCTCTATCTCATTCTAAATTTGATTTCATCACCCTGTTCGCTCGTTGGTTTCAGCCAGTCCAAACTAGTCAGTTAACCGTGTTTTTCTCTCACAACAAACCAGCACCAGCCAGCCCAATCAGCACAGAAATCAACAAGCGAACAGGCCGTATATCATAGGTTTCCCTTTGATTTTGTCTAATATCTGGATGAATATTTAATTATCCAACTCAATAGTGACCTACTATGATCTATACGTAGCAGGACGATTTAATCTGGATAAATATTTAATTACCCAACTCAATAGTGACCTACTATGATCTATAAACGTAGCAGGGCGATTTAGTTGAAATAATATATATCTTGTATTGATTTTTTTACGCTTGTTATTTTTTTCAAACGACAAACCTTAGTCCAATGGCTCCCGTATATCTTATTATGCCTCAATTATTTTTATTTTTATTAGCATATATACCGTACGTTGCAACGAAAAGTGTAACTTATGTCATCTATTCTAATATATTTTAACAAATATTTGAAGAGTATAAATTCCTTCTTTAAAAATAGGTATATAAAGTTCTCATTTTTTTTATTGTTCAATTCAATTATTCTTCCTCTCCACCCCGATTGCCTCCTTTGTGTGTTAATTCATCAAATTGAGTTCAGAGTCTCATCTCTCTTCGTCAGGGAGTCCAACCCACTGGACTCTACTTCTTGTGTCAGGTATCGATATTAGGGATATCTAAAGCAAAGAAGTTAGCGTCCACGTTGACTTCTCCGGATAGCTCGAGACGTATTAAAAGGTCTCACCCGACCCCAAGGCCGCAGGCTCTGTCTCGCCCGACCTTGAGGCCGCGGGCTCCGTCTCGCCCGACCACTTGGGTGCGGACTCCGTCTCGCTCGACCCCGAGGCCGCGGGCTTCGTCTCGCCCGATCCCTTGGGTGCGGGCTCCGTCTCGCCCGACCCCAAGGACACGGTTTCCGTCTCGTCCAAGGTCATGGGCTCCGTGTCGCCCGACCTCGAGGACGCGGGTTCCGTCTCATCCGACGGAGACCCATACCGCCACCAACCACTCCAGGTCCAAACGTATGGGCCTGGGTCAAAACTCTAACGCCAGAAAAGAGGCTGGCACGCCTCGATGTAACCCGTGGTCATAGCGGGCCATACCTAGGGATTCACATAAAGAACAGTGTCGGGCGTGCCGGTACTATTCTGCCTAATCCTCGTACGGACGCTGACAGGCGCGTTAGTTCACCACGACGTCCGTCGGAACGGAGTGGAACGCCATGACTGGTAGATGACGCCTACGCATGACACCCGTGACGAACAGGGCCGCGACATGGAGCCATCCCTGTTGACATCTACAGGATCGGCGGGACCCGCATGAAGAAGAAGGATCCGGCAACCCTAAAAGCCTTCTTCTCTCTCATTCTTCTCATTTGTAACCCCTACTGCAAACTAAGTGTCGGTAAGGAGAAAGCAGGGCGTTCCATGAAAGGAGGATCTGGACACAAGAGCACGACACGACCACACGCCTGAGCGGCAAGCGAGTTCTCAGCACCCGTTCACTCCTACCAGAGACTTGTGATCCTCTCCCTCTCTCACCTGTTTGTAACCCCTACTGCAAATCAAGTGCCGGTAACACGAGCAGCAGCGAACTAGACGTAGGGACGTTCCGCCCGAACCAGTATAACCTCTTGTGTCCTCCGAACACACCATCCGAGCCAGACGCGTAAATACAAATTTATTCGTCGGTGGTCCGAAAACACCGACACTTGGGTTCAAGTCAACCCTTCACACACTAATGAGGTAGAGAGGGGGATTGGATTTGACCATATATAGTGTTGGATCTAGTATAAATAGAACAAGGAACTAGAGAGAAAGGATAGAGAGAGAAAAACTCAATTTTAGGATAAAACAAGAGACACCAAGGACGCAAAGCCATCCACTTTCAAATCATAGTTATTAGAAACGGACTGGACCGGAAACCGGAATTTGAACAAAGGCAAACCGGGCGGCTAGCATTGTTGCAAACGTGAAGGAGAGGAACAAGAGGGAAAATGAGGAAAATTAGTGTAAAAAGATGTAGCACATGGATTCAAATCCTGGTCTCTGATTTACGATTCGTACCGTGTTGTGTCTTCATTGCATGACTTGCTATATTTGAATCTTGTTGAGCCGATAGTCCAATTGGTTAGACCAACCAACCGTGAACTGAGACTTTAAACGGTTCTATGTCTGGTAACTATGTTCCAAATACAATACATTCTTGAGGTTCCAAGTGATCAAACTTCTTTTATCTTGCTTTGTAACTATAATAAAAGTTGAGAGAATTATCTATTTGGCAATGAGAAAAACGATCTCCCTTCTAAGGCATTCCTGAAATCAAAATTTCTTATCTAGCATCGAGTTGAAATTTCCTTTTCTATTTGGCACTACCATCCGTTTCCTTCACTAACAATGTTAAATGGACACCAAAATGACTCTACGCACCTCTCTATATCAGATCTATGTGATGTCAAATAAGTAAAGCATGGATGTTTGTGGTGTCAAATGAGCAAAGCGTGAATGTCGTGGTCGTGAAATAAGGAAGATATTAGTTTTGGTGTCAAAGGTAGTTTTGATTATATATGTATTTTCTAAAAATAATAAAATAATAGATAATTCGCTATAATTAATAAATATTTCCTTTTAATTTAGAAAAATCTAAAATTGGTTTATTTTTTTTAAATATAATCAATCTCTTCGAGATCTACAACTTTAGTTTTGATAATTTCTTCATTCATGTTCATTTGAGTGATTTGAAAATTTTGAATTTCAAAATATAAGAATATTTAATATAATTTGAGAACTGTAAATGATTTAAATAAAACAATCGTCGACTATAAAGTTTTAGATCTTGATGAGATCTATCTATAACACCGTATATCTATGCATATCCATATATATCGTAGTAGAAAAGCCAAAAAAAAAGTCTTATATATAATTTAGAATCGAGGGAGTACTATTATTATGACTAGGGCATTTTTTAATGGACCGGCAGCCAAGAAAACAGAAACAGATTTGTCCTAGAGGACTACAGCAAGAAATAATTATTAACGCATCCCTAATTTTTGTTTCATCCTAGCAACGCCCGTCAAAGAAAAAGGGGCGAACTCTCTCTCTCTCTCCAGCGGCGAGGGGCCAATCTATTCGCCGGATACTCTAATGTCGAGCGGAGCCTCGTCATCGTCCTCGCCGCTGCCGGCAGAGGCTGGGGACGGATACTGGGAGGCGCGGAAGGAGGCGGCGGCGCGGCTGGAAGCGATGGCCGCTAGGGGTTATGGGGAGGACGAGCTCTCGGCGGAGCAGTTGGAGACCAACAACCAGCTCCAGGAGGACGAGGTAAACCTATCGCCCGCCCCACTTGCTTTTGAGTTTACTAGAACATTAGGCGCCCTTGCGCTCGCCTTGCCTTGATTTAGGCTAACTTATAACAAAACAAAACTATTTGACTAAAGTTATAGCAATGGTTTTCTTGCTCCACAAAACTATGAAACTAAATAAAATTTTCTTTTAGCGCGAAAACAGTAAGTTTCTTGCACAACCTAGAACCAATTAAAACCAGAGAACACAAACTTTATCAGACATCTTTGAAGACTTTTACATCAAGTAACACATTGATTAAAGCTGGCATATAGTTACAGATGGAATTGAAAGAAACATTCTCACATAAGCCAGGTAACTCACAGTCAGTTCATCTTTTACTCCTAAAGATGGTACTGAGCCTTCAGCATGATTAGAATTTGCTTGAGATTCAGAAGGGCCAATCTCATGACCTTCTAGTGCAGGCTCCAGTTTTATATCAGCCAGATGAGCCCCTTGTTTTCTTGCAACCAGCTGAGCTCATCAGTCTCAGTACAGATTTCAAGGGTTAAAACCTTTGGCACATTCCTCGCTTGAATCTTTATGTGTGAAAACATCCCATTTGGATTCAATATGAGCTTCCTCAGCCAATTCACACAGACTGCTCCGTGGTGCAATAAATATTTTCAACACCACTATCTCTGCCTCTGCCTTCACTGTGTTTTGTAAATCATACTGATGTAGTCACCAATCAGTTTCCTGAGAGGTTTTATCACTCACCATGTTTGCATACAGGGCAAACACCTCCTTACAACCTCACAGTGTTGCATTTGCATCCAGGAACGATCTATGGGTTCCAATTTTCTTCCAGTTGTTATTTGCATCATTTTCATTGTTGTATGGCTCAAATTTTCTATGGAGGAAGTATGATGCACGGCCATCCTGCCTAACACCCGGTATATCTTGAGGGTGAGTGCAACTAAACCCTCCATCATCGACATATTTAATAAAATAATTGATAAATGGATAGCGCTCAGGTCGACCATTCCCAACTTCTGCTGCTAGATGCCACAGAATATCGCTATCGCTGGGATTGAATTCTACACCCCTTGGTAGCCCTGGCCAACTCTCGCAATACATCAATAGGGTAGGATCAGGGGCGGACCCAGTAAAGGACATGGGTGTACAGATGTACACCCAATAACTGGTGGGTGCTCGTTGCCGGCGAATGGCCCAACGAAGACCTGGTGAAGGGACCGACGACGCTAGACCTGGGCACCTGGGAACCTGGCGTAATAGATGATTATCGCCCATATATTAAAGCTATCTTCTAATTAGAGCAAAGGTGATAGTTGAGTCTCTGGTATCGAAGTGCTGTAACGGTAGCTCTAGCCCATGGCAAGACCTTTTGTTTAGGAATTAGCTCATGGAAAGACTTTATAAATATTACTAATACAAACAAAATAATCTCATACATGTGAAGTACTGTAAACTTTAAGTCCCTTCTTAGCAATCTGAGTTCAGTGTGTATACATAAATAGAAGATTTCTTTAGAATGCATAAATAACCAGAAGATGGATCTAGTAGTGGCAAAAACACCTTGTGAAATCCTGGACAGTTAGTTCGAGAAAAAAAATCCTGGACAGTTAGCAGAGCAGTGGCCAAAGACAACCAATCCTTTCCTGTAGTGTTCTTTGCTAATGAGTAATTACCTAATAGAGCAGGTAAGCCAAAAAAAATGCATGTTAACCAGCAGGCACAGCTAGGTAAAAATCATAGATCCACTAACAACCTCACTTATGTAGTAAGTCTCTGACAGCCCCACAGAGTCATGTGAAGTACAATCATTCAAAGTGACTTCAGCTCTTTACAGTAATAGTTATCTACCATTTTCTCCTAAACAGAGGCATATCCTTTACGGCATTTTGCAATTAGTAATTAGCAATGATAAAAGCCTGCCACTCGACCTCTATGGCTAATTTTGCTAACATAAACTGCATTTCCAGAACTGATATGGTCCATCTTAGTGCTAAGAAGTCTACAATTATATCCTAACACAGAACCTGTCTTCAGCAGAAACCACCTGAACCATGACCTTTCACAACTGCTGAAAAGCCAATAGTTGAATCGGGCAGAGCTCATCAGTCATCACAGTACAGAGCAGAGAAAGCTAAACCCCTGCCCAATCGCACTGCCCCAGCGCCTACTCCGAGCCACACCACAGGCACCCGGCGCAAGTCGTGAACAGACCTAGATCTTCGTGGCGGAGGTGTTCTGGAGGCGGAGGCCCTGGCGTCGGCACCTCTCCTTGCGCGCCTTCTCGAGAAGAGCTCCTTGCTGCTCGGCCCGCCAAGGTCGGCTCGGCACCGTGCCGACGGGTCAACCAAGAAGAACATCGTCGCCTCCCTCACCTGCCTGCACCCATGCACCACCACCGAAAAAAATCAGCAGAAAATCCCGACAAATTCGTGGGAAAAAAAAGAAAACCTGGGCCGGTCGGATTGTACCAGAACAGAGTTCTGTGTGCGATCTGGGAGACACTAGGCTTTGGGGAGCGGGGAGACATCGGGATGGAGCGAGCAAGGGGTCAGGCTTGTGCGGTGATGAGACATTGCTGCTGCTCTACAATGCGTCCTCGGCGGTAGGAGGCTTGGAGATGCCTGTGGAGGTTTTCGAGGAACGGCGGTGCCATGACCCACCGCCCTTGTGAGTGAGGCAACGGAGACAAGGAATGCCGGCAGGGCGAGATGCGAGGTGCGGCGGCGGCATCAGTGGGTGGGGAAGAAGAGAGAGAAAGGGGTTCTCGACAAAACGGTTTGTGGGGTGTTTTATGAAAAACGATGATATATCGAATTTTCTCTTCTTCACATCAAAATAAAATTTAGATCATGGACATAAACACAAAATATCCGAACATGTGTACTGTACATTCCCTATGGATGGACTGCGGGTTGATTTTATAAAACTAAAAGCGCTTTTCTACAAAACACCTGAGGTCACATGTGGGCATGCGGAGGAGCCACAGATGCCCGGATGTTCTAGTGCGAGCAAACTCGAGGTAGTTTTAATAACCCTGATGTGCGTCACAGTGCGCTCCGGAAATCGGTGGATGGCATGTGGGATCCTGATTAGGGTGAAAAATATCTGCAGTTGCAGAGATTAACCTGTGACGATGCGCTATACTGTGATTGTTGTACCTACTGGTCTGAAACTGGAATTCATATATGCCTGAGTCTGCAATGGAGCTACTATTATGTAGCATTGGGATATTGCCATTTGCTGCTGTTAAACTGTAGATTGATGAAGTGTCGTGTTTAGTTTGAACTGGAGATTTAGGATGGCGAATTTGTGCGTCTACCACCTGAGAAAGATAGAGTTAAGTTATGACTGGAGAATTAGTTTGGCCGATTTTAAGCTATTGTTTTGACATGACAGCTATTTGAACTGCTGTTGTCGCTAATATGTCGTAGTTTGTTAGTCGTTGAACTCTCACTCTCGGTAGTAGCAGAATTCTTACTCTCATGGAGAGAGGATGACACTGGGAGTTGGGGCAATTTTCTGGTTTATTTCTCACACAAACTCACACAAATGCCATACCAACCTGAGGGGTTGGGGTTACATATTTATATGCTGCTAGCCAGCCAAGCATATGCCAAGATGCTAGTCTAAGATGCTAAGATGTTAGTCTAAGATGCTAATATGCTGTCCTCTAGTCTAAGATGCTGTCCTCTAAGATGCTGTCCTAAAAATAGAAAAATAGCCACAAGGACCATGTGAGCAGCACAGCCCCACAAAGACCAGCCACACATGAGACTTATCCATCATAGTTTATTATATTATGTTCAGGTGCTGGCATTGCAAGCCATTTATGGGGATGACATGGTGATCTTGGAGGATAAGGCAGGTCTTCGTTCTTTCCAGGTTCGTTCCAGAGCTTTGTCCTCCTTAATCCGAACTATCTCATTCTTCAAAAGTGTAATGTTCATGCCTTCTTCCTCAGATTTTTGTTTGGTATCCAATTCCTAATGGTACTAAGGTGTTCTTGAATCTTCATCCAAATGGAACTATGGTTGGAACTGATAATGATGGGAGCCAAGATGGTAGGAACTCTTTTATGCTTGCAGCTTAAAGCATTTGCCACCTGTGGTGTTAACATGTTTGCTGCCATGTTCATATCCCAGTACAAATGCTCCTTATTTTACTATCTCAGCCAAGTGGTTGGATGAACCCAAAGTTTCACACCTCTGTGCCATGTTTGATGAGATTTGGACTGAGCTGCCAGGACAAGAAGTAGTGTATAGATGGCTGGACTGGCTGAATAGCTCTTCATGGGCTTGCATTTCTTTGAATGACAACATAATACTAGTCCCAGATAAAACTTCTGATGTTGGAGATGAACGTGCTATTGCGAGAAGGCTTCTAGTTGATTCTACTATTCCTCTGATGCAAAGTTACAATGAGAGGAGGTCTCATGAAATATTTCTGAAAAGCTTACATGAGTGTGGAATTTGTCTTAGTGAAAATACTGGTAATTTTCTTATACATTATCTGATTAGGATGCTGTGTTTGATTTTGCTGACTTATTTACCTTTTTCTTCAAGTTGCTATCACTGCCTTTTGGTCTATTTTGTACATGATGTACTAGAGGCAATAAGCTCAACAATGCAAGAAATATAATTACTTCAATCCCCTAGTAATTTTTTAGAAATAAAATTAGGAAATCAAATGAGAAAAAAATAATATTATCATAAAACAACAGTTTCAGGATCTGTAGTACAACTACTCAGATGGGTTCTGTAGTGACTTAGCTGCCTTCCCTTTTATTCTCTACAAAGTAGGAAACATGCTCAATGTAGCGCCTTTTCACTTTTCAGTAATTTTGATACTTGAATCCTATCTAGTAGTTTTTGACTCTTTGCCCCTCTTCATTTCTTGACCCTACCAGGCAGAAATTTCATCAAGCTCCCATGCCACCATTTGTTTTGCTTGACATGTATGAAGTCTCACTGCAGAATTCACGTAACAGAAGGGAATTTAACCCAGTTGATATGCCCTGATACAACTTGCCGCAGCCCACTCCCACCATCAGTTTTGAAAATCCTTCTGGGAGATGATTGCTATAAGCGATGGGAATCGTTCACATTACAGAAACTCTTAGATACAATGCCTGATCTGGTATATTGTCCAAGGTGTGATGCTGCCTGCTTGGAGGTTGACAATGATGCTCAATGCCCGGAGTGTTTTTTCACCTTCTGCTCTTTGTGCAAAGAACGCCGGCATGTGGGGGAGGATTGTGTTACTCCAGAAGAAAAGATTAGGATTTTGAGGGTAAAATGCATAATCTCTTAATGATTGAACTTTCTTTTTTATGAAATTAATGATGTGTACAGTCAGCATTTTGAGATTTTGTTGTGGTACTTAATTTGAAATTTAATTATTGCTATGAACGCATGTTTGATTGACGTAATTGTAGTATCTGGTTCCTAGATTCCAGTGTGACCTGATTTGAGTGAAGTTCGAGGCATTCTGCTTTCCTGGCCTAGAGTTTATCCACACACTATGTAGTGTAAGATCTTAATACTCTCTCTATAAAATTAAGTGTCCTTTTGGTGTGCTATAGAGAAGATGGATGAATACCAGTACAGTAGAAATTACCGTCACCATCTTTGGCGACTGTGTTGTTGTCCATAACATCACTTGTTTGTGACTGGAGACTTAACTTTGTATCTACATATCTAATTCTTCAACATCTATGTGCTTACATGACAATTCAAAACTTGAGAATGATATGATATTTGCAGTGCTTTATTTGTATATGCATGACCTATTTGAGGTTCTGTATGATGTTGTTCTTTCCTACTTATCCATTCAAAATGCCATGACACATTCTCCTTTTTAACAGGAAAAACACCAGAAATATTCCCTCCCAGAAAAACAATTGTTGAGAGAACAGAGGGAAATAGATGAATTAAAAAGTGTCTGTGAAGCGCTTCGCGATTCTAAGCAATGTCCCAGATGTAAAATGGCTATCTCGAAAACTGAAGGTTGCAACAAGATGACCTGTAGGAACTGTGGGAAATTCTTCTGTTATCGTTGTAACCAGGCAATTCATGGATATGAACATTTTTGGTAATGTTGATTCATGTGCAAAAATTTCGTGTTCAATTTTGTTTGCACTGATCCAGAAGCTAAAAAGGTTTTTGCCACTGAAGGGATGGAAATTGTGTGCTGTTTGAACATCACAATCAGGTGGGAAGAAGATATGGACTGTTTGAGGAATTGGATGATGATGAAGGTTCTGATGATGAAGATCTAGAGGAGCCAGAGCCAGAGCCTGAAATGGTACGGGGTCATCCTTGTCCAATGTGTGGCCGGCGGAATGAAAAGGTTAGCAGCAGTATCTTTTCTCCTTGCATCTAGAGCATGGTACTTCCATAATATCTGCTTAGAGCCTCCAAACACTAGAAGTATTTATGCATGAGTCACTCCTGCTCTAGTAAACCAATATCTGTGTAATTCGTGTGTATAGAGTTGAGTGTAAGTTTCCTATCACGCCCATTGATGTTTTCATTATTCCTGTATCTATTTTTCAATCTAGTCTTTTTTTTTGGTTGCCATATGATCACCATACATGCGCAGCTGGTCTCTGGAAGTGCCTTTTCCTTGTAAAAGGGTTTAATGAACAATTCTGCTGCATATACTTGCTCTAGTCACTCATGAAGCATGTAAACTCATAAGTGCATTGTAAAGGCATATATTCCTCACAGAATGAAACAGCAGACAATCTACTAACAATCTCAATGCAATGTCGCATTATTGACAGTTTGGCACAAACAATCATATATCGTGCATGGGTTGCCGAGGCCACTATTGCGCGTTATGCTGGAAGAGGGTTACGAAGAGCTCAGAACACTATGGACCAAGAGGTTGCCAACAACACACGGATCTCTAGTGATTCCAAATCTTGCTGTACAGTACAGAATCTCCTTTATACATAACATTTTGCCCCTTCCAGTGTTGGCATCGACTTGTTGAGTTGTTTCCCAAAATGAGAGGCTTAGCCAATGTGAATTTGCAGTTGGAAGGGTCCATTGCATTTAGCTAGGATCGTTGGTGTCAAGAAGATGGTTCGCCATGTAATGAACACGGCATTTTATTGAAAATCGTTGATGTCAAGAAGATGGTTCGCCATGTAATGAACACGGCATTTTACTGAAAATCGTTGATGTCAAGAAGATGGTTCGCCATGTAATGAACACGGCATTTTATTGAAAATGACCATGCAGATTGAGGATTCAGTTCATTTATGATGTAGCCATAAGCGACTACTCCGTATTTGAGTCTGAACCCCGAAAGTTTGATTTGGGTTTTCTTGCACTCTATTTATTTGATATATTCGAGCACCGATAGCCTGCAGCAGGTTTTGAACCAGAACGGACAGCCATTTTATCCTGGACTCAGGAGCTGGAATATTGTCATACTCTCTCGTCCAATCTATACTGAAGTACTAATATTTCTAATACCAAATAAGTATCATTATTACTATTTATATATAATTTATAGTAAACATACTTAGAGATATAAATATTGATACGATTTTCTTTAAATATATTCAAACTTAACTTGATTAACTTGCAAAAAAAAAAACGAAATGCACGTTCTTGAGATTGAGGGAGTAACTCGTAAGTTGAGATTGAATGGAGATGCTCTAAGGAGTTTTGGCTGCACTTCAATCTATCCCAATACATATGGATCCAAATAAGGGCCTTAGGAGAATATCTTGTTCAAAAAATTGCTTGTTGATAACGCGCTGTTGGACACGTGCGCGGTTGTTATATGTATTGGGATAGATCACTGAAAGTCAGAGTTGCCAGCAGCGAAGCTGAAAGTGGGTACGCTATTGTTCTCGTCGGCAGATTGCCAGCACTACATGCATTGTTCATCCAAGAAACGTATCAGCTCTTCACCCACTCAAATTATTGTACATTTACAGTTTCCACGTAGCAGATTTATTTAAACATAAAAATGCTGATTAGTAGCTTCGTAAAACAGCTCCAGTTATAAACCTGTGGTTCAGTACAGCCTCGGCAATTGGTCGCTTGCGGTAATCCGGATTAAGCATTGCCTGTCGAAACATAAGTCAGAGTTAGTATCTTGGCTGAAGATATGTATCCCCGACCAAAGCAACTGATTCAGAAAGTTCCCTAGTTGGCCAGTGCAATAGTGTGCATGATGTGCACAGCAGTATAATTGCAGTAGTTTCGTGAACAGATAAGGTTTGACATAGCAGTTAGTATGATAGAGGCAAAACCTGCAGTAACTCCCAGCCAGCACCATCCCCTAAATCTAGAAAACTTACTGCTTCTGACAACCGGTCATCTGCCAGACAATACCTATAAAAAATTTGGAAGTTGATAAGCATGTGTGTCTGAATATCATGACTGGTCATCAGATAGAGAAATCAGGACCAATGAACTTATCCACTGAACTGATTTTGTTTACCTAACAAAAAGAAAAAAAAACTTTCTATGACTAAGTAACAGGAAGTTTATTTTGTGTTAGCGATTCATACTCTCTTGCAGCATAAATGTCGAGCCGGAAGGTGTTCTCCAAAAGTCTCTGCACAATCAATCGAGAGTATGTCAAGTGTCTGAGTGGAAAATTAGAAAACAATAATCCTCTTACATGAGCATGAAGTTAAAATATCCTGAATCACCTGCAAGGAAATACCATCCATAATGCCTGCTTCGCAAAATGGAATAAATGCCATGTATGCAACAAGCAACCCAGCTCCATAACTGTTTAGTGAAGTGCATGTAAACTTTGGTGTTCGTTTTTGTTGAAGAAAAAAGAACAAGAATACTTGCATGTCATCAGCTATTCCAAAGGCTCGTTTCTCCAAAGGAGTCAATGCCCCAGCAGCAGAGGCTCGACACCATAGTCCGTCCGACAGCACTCCAGCCCCAATAGATGAATACCTATCATTGCCAAAAAAGTTTTTAAAGATGGTTCTGTACCAATATTATATAATAATAGAGGTAGGAAGGGGATGGAAACATACCCAATATCTACAGAAAAAGCCAAATCTCGCAGCCTTGGAACCAAGTAGCGTCCCTCTTTCTCCAATGCTGTGCTATAGATCAGAAAGTTACACTAATCACTAGTTAATTGAACATAGGGAATACAGTGCAGAAAGGAAGCTAAAGAAAATATTCAGCATACTTGAGAATAACAGAAGAAGGTCCAAGGCTTTGATGCAGTCTATCATGATTGTGCATGTGGACAAGGCCACTCATGGCACCATTAAGCAACTTAAGAACAAAATATCTCCTTAACTCCAATTTGTATGCTCGATCGAAAGGGTTCCAAAATGGCATCCCCCCAGATTGCTCCTTCAATTGTCTTGCGCTAGCTACTTTCGCGTAGTCTGCAGCACTATATCTCCCATCATCGCGGAAGGCAAGCCACTGTAGTAAAGCTATGTCAGTCTTGCATGCATTCTGTGAGGAGCCTGGGAACCACATAGTTATGTAGTAATATACCTGTTCTCCAGTTGCTGTCTCAAAGGCCCCTAAAAGAAACTGAATGTTCGTGCAGATGTCACTAGCATCACTCTGTAAATAGAGGCCAAGGGAATAGTTTTGTGTGTGTAAATGTCATGTGTAATATAATAATCCATGCTTGCAGTTTCTGTTAGCAGTTTATGATTTACGTAACCTGAAGAAAAGCATGAGTCCTTAACTCATTCAGTGCCATCAAATCAGCTTCAGAAGCACCAGCACGGGCTCCAGGGTATACCTTTGTTTCAAATCCTATGTCTTAGCATATTAAGATAGTCAATATATTCGTATACCTATGGCAGAGAAAGGTATCATAATAAAATGAAGACAAATTCAAAGGTCGAAAGTGTATGTCCTATTACAAATAATATTTTCAAGGCACTGTAGAACCAATTTTCAAGGCATGGCACTCGGCTGATTACTAAAAGACGCCATGCAACTAAACTTAGCAAAGTAACAAATCTACACATACCTTAAATACAGCCTGTGTGCCCCTCAATGGACCTTGAACAACTCTTCCCTCGTAAAGTCTGGAAAACAGGATGATCAATGAATAATGGGTATGCCTTTACTTTACTATAGTAAAAAGTCAGTATCAGTCAGAAGGAGATAACCTAATCGTCACTTCTCCTTCTCCGATATCTTGGACCCTCAACCGCTCAATCTCTTCTGGTGAATATCCAAGACCAAGGTCTTGAATACCAGCAACATTTGAAGGCTCTCCAAATTGAGATGATGAGTAACTGATTCACATGACAGGAAGTCAGAAAAGGTGATTATTATTCAAGAAAGGTTCAGTAATCAGTACTACACAAAGAAAAGGAAAAGGTCTGTGAATACTGAAGAAACAATTTGTATTTTTTTAATGAGAAGGAGCAGGGCCCTTTATTTATTTATACTATTACAGCATAATGATAATTATACTATTACAGCATAATGGCAATCCACAATGATATGAAGTAAGGCCACAAAACATCTGATGGCTCTTTTAACAGCTCTTCGAAGATTGCAATTGTACCATTAGATGCAATATCACTATCACTACATCATGCACTAAAATATGTGGAAAAAATTGTATCAACACATTTGTATTGCAAATGTCTTTGGATAAGATTTGGTTTCATAACAATCGGAATATATATTCTAAGAGAGGGTAATGGTCTTCGAAAGAGTCCCCTATATCCTAATTTTCCTTAATCATGTCCCAAACATTTCTCAGGATTGGGCTGACTAACTCCAAGATCCCCTCTTCACCTCCACGCTGTTCATGTCGAAGGGATTCAGCATAAGCAACTAGAAAACTGCAAATGTTGGAACCAATCCTGCACACAAGACGGCTCCACAGCCGACTCCATCTTCAGAACAAAATCAGAATGTAACCGCACCGCCCGCAACTATTTCTCTGATGAAACCAAAATGGAAAAGGATTCAAGCAATTTTCAGGAAAAGATGACCTTGTGATGTTCATGAAGCCATAGCCACCCAAGAATCTGCCCACCTCGAAGTAAGCGGGGTTGGTCATGAGCGCTGCCGAAATCAACCGCAGCGACCGTCGTGGTAGTCGCCGGCTCCACCTACCGGGCTCCGGTGAGGCGAGGAACCGCACAGGCAGAGCTTTCAGCATCGTATTCGTAGCTGATGGACTGACACTGGTTTTGCGATAGGCATTAGAAGCCATCTCAGCCACAGACTGCGTTTCTGTTGTTTGCCCCCTGAAATGAGTTATCCCCTCCGTTAAAAAGTGGACTTTTAGTTTTGCTAGAAGTCACTAATTTAAAGTTTGATTAAGTTTGTGAAAATAATATTAATATTTATGTATTTAAAATTCTAAATAGTATTTTATTGAAACTACCACTATAAAAATATATTTTATAAATAGTATTTTAGGCTAAACGACCACTATAGAAATATATTTTATAAATAATAAATAATTTAGTAATATTTATTAGAATTATAAAAATAGTATTTTATTTAGATTTTGTTAAATTCAAATTGATTGTCTTCCTAAAGTGAGAAGTACATTCTTGTTCGGAATACTCTTTTTCTATGGCACTTTTCTCTTATCTTTTTTTTTCTTCACTTTTTTCTATTTTAATGTAAATTTTGTGAGACACTGTGTCGGCGTTTCGGACCGGGGGTCCTCAACCGACCAGTAAATGTGAACTGCGTGCTCCTAATCCCGGATGGTGATGCAAAGAGACACAAGGTTTATACTGGTTCAGGCAATCGGCGTTCTACGTCCAAGTCTAGGAGATCGATCTTGTATTATCTGCACCGAAGTGCTTGTAATAGGGGGTTACAAGCTGGGTGAGAGAGGGAGCTAGTCCCAGGTTTCGGCGTGGAATGGTGCGGGCTTTGCTTGAGTCGTTGCTCTCGAGCGTGTGGGAGCGTGCGTGAAATTGAGTGAGTGCGTTTTTGCGTGAGGGGCGTGGTTTGATCCTAAAACGGCCTGGCGCTTCCTTTTATAGCCACAAGGAGGGAGCCAGAGTACATGAGAGAGCTACACGTGGAGCCTTAGCGAGAAAGGAAGATCCAATCTTCGTGGCCTATTCTCCGTAACAACACAATGATCGGGAATGGCAATTGGTACTTGATCACCGGTCGTCCACGTAGGCCATGCCCGAAATTCATTGAAGTCGTAAGAGTCCTTGTTGACGTCTAGTCGATATGACTTTCACCGTGGGTGACATGCCGTGCTCTGATGGACTCTTGTCCCGGTGGAGTGCCGAGGCCTAGCGGGTCTTTGGAGTGATCGTCTTGAGGCCTTCTTTCTGCCGAGGCCTCGGAGGTGACCTGTAATGCGACGACGCAGGGTCTCGGTGGTGCATGTCGTACCCGATTCGGTGAAAAAAGTGCGGAATGGGCGTCCGTAGGGAGCCGTAGTCTCTGCACCGTCAGTAGGGGATGGTAAAAAGGTGATTTGACCGCCGTCCCATCGTCCTTTTTGCCATACTCTGCTAATCGTGGCTGACGTAGGCGTAACTAGGGATACTTACACGGATGGGACGGCCCGCCAGAGGGGCAATTGAGGCGGAGGCGACGAGAATACGGGACGAGCCCGGCCTCGGCCGAGGCGGAGAAGGAATGGCGCGTCCGAGGCCTTGCCGGGGGGTCTCGGACGAGGCAGAGACCGAGCAGCTGGGCTCTCCTGCTGTTTCCGAGGCTACAGGGACATGGACTCGACCTTCCATGCCGCTTTGTCCTTGGCGCAGGGGTTAGGTAGCACATGGCAGTATAAGTGTCAGGAGGGAGCACAGTGGTGAGTATAGTGGCAGGTAACCCCTAACGTGCCTTGGTCCCCGCCCCGTCGGTTGTTCTCGCCTGCCTTTATATCTGCGTCGTCTTGGTGGCGTTCTTGGGTGGTTGGGTGCATTTAATCCGGACGTGATGTTTTGCCAGGAGTTCGGTCGGGACGGAGGTTACGAGTACGTCCGCCGAGCCCGGCCTCGAGCGAATCGGAGAATTAGAGATCCGTCCGAGATCTTTCGGGGCAAGGCTTTGGCGAGAGGGTCTCGGCGAGAGGGCCTCGGCGGGGACGTTTTAGGCCTGTTTCGCATGAGGCCTCGGCGCAAGGCCTCGGACGAATCGGAGAATTCTGGCGAGATCTTGCGGTAGTCTTTTGGCTTTGGTTTTAGCAAGGCTTAAGCAATATTCTTGATCTTGCTTAGTGTACCCCTTCTTAAACAGTTTATAAAAATTCAGTTGAAGCTCAGCATTTTTTAGTTTGAGCTAAAAAAAACTTGGCCTGTGTACTGAACCTCACCTCTGTACAGTTTTTCGTAGAACTTTGTGTTTGTTTTTCCTCCCCACTATTCTATATATCAATATATGATCATCAGTGCTTTTTGCATTAAAAAGAACAAGAAAATGTGATAAGAAGCCTTCCAAATTTTAGTGGAACAAACGAGTAATCTAGTGTCCGATTTTGTGTCTAATTTTCATTTCAGATTTACCACACATTTTGAGTTTATATAAGCATTTTTTAGGACTAAGCATCTATTGTTTGTTTTTTAAAAATAAAGCAATAGTGATAGTAGTGGATATCTATTCTGAGCTGCCGTGGAGCTGACAGTCTCAGAGCCTCAGAGCTGACAGCCCATACCGTAATTCCAGCAATTTCCGTTACGCCTCATAGCCTCTGAGGAGAGAAGCTTCCCTGCATTACGGGCGAGTGGTTGGTAGTCCGTTACACCGCTCGCCTAATATTGCAACTCCTCTCTCACCAGCAGCTACACTCTCGTCTCCAGCCCTCTCATCCAATCCATTGCGACTTGCGGCTCTCCAGGGCACAACAACTGACCATACCATTGGCAATGGCAACGACGAAGCTGCGAGAGCGCACGCAGCTCTGGCTGTCCGTGCTGTCGCCGGCGTCGCCACCGCCGTTCATGTACCAGGAGCACCCGTTCGGCGGCCTGCCGTCCTGGCTCGCCCGACCCCGTCATCAACAGCCTCACGGAGCTCGAGAGTGTGGGCGTCCTCGGCCACGGCGCGGACGGTACGGTGTACAAGGCGCGGCACCGCCGCACGGGCGCGGAGCTCGTGGTCAAGTCGCTGCGCGTGCGGGACGACGGCGGCGCCGCGCTCCGGGAAGCCGACGTGCATCTCCGCGTGGCCGCCGCGGCGCCCGACCACCCGCACGTCGTCCGCCTCCACGGGATCTTCCCGGGGAACCCGGCCGCCTGCAGCGACCAGCAGCTCCTGCGTCTGGTCCTCGAGTACGTTCCTGGCGGCTCGCTCGGCAACGTGCTCCGGCGGTGCGGGCGCCTCCCGGAGGACGCCATCGCGGGCGTGGCGCGGCACGTGCTCCGCGGCCTGCGCCACCTGCACCGCCTCGGCATCGTCCACGGCGACGTCAAGCCATCGAACCTTCTCGTCGGTCGCCACGGTGAGGTCAAGATCGCCGACTTCGGCGCCAGCCGCTACGTCCCCAGCGCCGGCGGCGCGCACCGAGCGGCCGGCGCCGAGGGGACGTGCGCGTACATGAGCCCGGAGAGGCTGGACCCGGAAGGTTTCGGCGCGGCCTCGCCGTCGGCCGCTGCCGACCTCTCCAGCGACGTGTGGTCCCTTGGAGTCGTCCTCTTAGAATGCCACATGGGTAGGTTCCCGCTGGTGGCGGTTGGGGAGAGGCCGGAGTGGGCGGCGCTGGTGGTGACCGTGTGCTTCGGGAGCGCGCTGGAGGTGCCTGTGACGGCGTCGTCGGAGTTCAGGGGCTTCGTGCGGCAGTGCCTGGAGAAAGATTGGCGGAGGAGAGCCACAGTGGACGAACTTCTCGGTCACTCCGTCGTCGCGGGGGTGCCGCCATGTTGCGCCACCACCACCACCAACGAGTGGCTAACCAACTTCGCTGACGAACTGATGACAGTCGAACGCAAAGAACACACCTAATACAGAACTCAACGAACGTGGCAATGACGAAAATAAAGTCCTAATGGTGATGAACGGCCTCGTTAAGGAAGATGCAAATCCAACTGAGCATGAGGCCGGCCAAGCGAACTTGATCAGGTTTTGGAGCATAATTCAGAGGTGTCTGACTCCCACGGTAGAGCTGGTGATTAGCTGCAGGCTGCAGTTGCTTTGTGAGGCAAAACGACGAGCTTCATGATCCGTGGTGGCTGGTAAACACGCAGCGGTTTGCAAGCAGATTTGGGTGAATGTTGAGTGCTAGGCTGCAAGCTGCTGAGGGAATAATGGCTTGGCTTTGGCTATTCCGGTCAATAGTTGAGCTCCAAGCCTCCAATGGTTGTTTGTGGTGTCATACTGTCATTGACAGATCTCAGTTTTAGAAATATATTCCTTCCGTCTTTAATGCACGTCAAAAACGGAGGGAGTACCATCACAACCTTGTACGATTTTATCCTATAAAATAGATTGTTCAATGCACTTTTCAATTGGGATGCATACAAAAATTAGAACTGAACGCCTATAAAATAGATTGTTCATGCACTTTTCAGTTCGCACGCTCTCCAGCCGCCGCCGCTCAGCTATGGGTGAGTTCTCTAAAACTTGTCTGATGCACCAGTCTTGGATTTTGTGTCCTGTTATTTCAGTTGGCGAATCGGAATCCCTCTACTCCTTGTGTGTTTTTTTTGTTGGTTCACGGTTCACTTTATTTTAACTGTTAAGGCCCTGTTCGGCTTACCCCATATTCGACTTGTTCGGCTTCTTTTTTCAGCCGGAACAGTGTTTCTCTCTCATAATAATTCAGCCGGAACAGTATTTTTCAGCCAGTTTCAGCCAAATTTCAGACCAGCGAACGAGGCCTAAAATACTATGATTATACTACTCGCAAGGACGTGCCCACTGTGTCATCGCAAAAATTAACTTTGCAGATTTTCTATCCAGACATCTGTATTCTGTATTAAGTGTGGAATTTAACTGAGTAGATGTGCAGATCAGAGACGAGGAAAATGTGATGCGCTCTCTCGGTTCCTGATGTGCACCTTCATAGGTGAATGTTAAGATATCTTTTTTTTTTTGCGAATAATGTTAAGAGATCTCTTTAACATGTTATGTTCTAGGTTTCAGCTTCTGAATGTATTGCATATTCAGAGAATGTTGTGCCAGCGAGGAGTAGCAAGTGATTTTTTTCACAAGGAGAATAAACTTTGGATCCGCTAATGACACAGAGAAACTTTTCTTGATTTGGGAGTAGACAAACATAGTGAAATTTAGTTC